CATGGCGGCACATTATAATCACTCAGGGGAGCTTCTGAAAAATACAGGTGCCTAAGACCCAGTGTTAACCAATTGAATCAAAATCTTTGACGGTGGGCCTTGACATCTCTAGTTCGTGAGAGCCCTCTAGGTGATTCTAATGTTCAGTCAGCACTGAGAACAGCACTTCAGGCTGGGCCCTGCTCCAAGAGGTCAAAGATCATGATTGTTTATTCCTACTGTCTCTCTCCAGCCCAGCACAATGCACCAGGCACACACAGCATGGTCAATAAATACTGTTTGAAAGAATGAATGAATGAGCATAATAAAAGCTCTGAGAAGGCCTGCAACTGAAGAAAAAACTAATTTTGTTGAAACTTAAGTGTTTCCCAACCTTATTTGACCATGGGATTCCTTTATTCTGTGGAAAACCTATTACCATCTTAGGGGACATTTGTGAAACCCAGCAGGGGACACGCTGGCCTGGAGAAATCTCAGGGTTGGCTTCTCTAGCTCCATAAACTTGACCTGGGAGGAAACGATCATAAACCTGGTACAAGGGAGGGAACTTGGAGATGGCTACCCACTCTCCCACCCCATGGCCTATCCCTGCTGGCTCCCCAAACCCAGGAGATGTATGGTCCTACTCCCTTGGGCTTGGGATAACAATAAAAATAATATTAATAACAACAACAACAACAGACACCATGGCTATGACCCTCAAGGGGCCGTGAGCTTTTTCTGCACTTCAAGAAACTGAGCTCAGAAAGCAGGAGTTCTGGCAGGTGCCCACGCTGACCCACATAGGGGCCAGCCTCTCTCTGCCATTGGGCCCTGGAAAGCCCTCCTGGCCCCCTGAGCTCACCAGCACGGAGTTTACTGGGCTCAGGGGGCCTCTAGAACTCAGGGAAGACTCAACCCACCAAGGGCTTTTTATAGCTTGCCTCCCTTCCCCGGGCCCCTCCTCAGTATCCAGCCGAGATTTCAGCCTAAATGGGAAACAATATTCCTTGGAGGACTGAGGCTGTTTCCAACTTAACCATTTCAGGGCTAGAATGTGAGGCAGCCCAGAGGAGAAGTGGATCCACCCAGATAGGATGCAATCATAATATGGTGCCACAAAGCATGGACTAAGGGGGAGCGGGGTGATGGGCTGGGGCCTGAATCTCAGCCTGCTGCTTCCTGGCTGTGTGACTTCAAGTAACTTACTTTCCTTCTCTGAGCTTCACTTTCCTCAACTGTAAAAATAGTGGTAAAAATAGTCCTGACCTCATCAGGCTAATGTGAAGGTGGTGCAGGGTAAGCACACCATACATGGTGGCCATTATTTTCCTGCTGCGGTCTCTGCCCCCAAAGACCTCACGGTTCACTTGAGGGCAGACAGCGATTCTGTCTTCAGAGGCTAGAGAAGCTCCAAGAGCCATGCTTATTATATGCCAGATGCTGTGTTTGTGCATTTTCATGCTCATTCGCTCATTCATCAACAACCCTGAGTTTTATTATCTGGATTTTATTGCGGGGAGGGGGGAAGAAACTGAGATCCAGGGGTGGAGTCGCTCACCAAAGGCACCACAGATGGGAAATGGCTAAGCTGGGATTTTGGCTGAGGGTCATCTGACTTAAGGCCAGTGCTCTTCCTTGTAGAACAGGCAGGGCTGATGCAAAACGGTCTTAATGGGACTGGCAGACACACTGTGACCTTGTCGTCAACCTTGGGCTCACAGGGGACCCGGCATGGGATGTGAAGGCGGAGCTCAGCTGCCTGGTCCTGGGATGTATGTACAGCACAGGTGGAGAGTGTCACAACGTGAGAACACATCTCCATGGTGTGGACTCTCTTGGACTTCACTAGACAGTAATGCTAGCTCATGAGTGTTTTCTGAGATTTTTTTTCTATTTGTCTATTTGGCATCTGCTAATAAAAGCTGTGGCCTGTGCTTACTCCTTGCTTCTTTCTGCCTCCCGACTGACACTGGTGCTTCCCCCTGTGGCCCTTCCTGGGAAGGCGTGCCCCAATCTCTTGGGAAATGTAAGGAACCAAAATCTTCTCCCAGTGCCCTTAGCCTCTCTATGTCCTCACTCACTCACCTCTGTAAGTTAAAATCTGTGGGAACGATCATTGATGCAATGAGTCAAGTGGATCGCCTGTCCCACGGGCTTTGGGGATTACCCTAAAAGCAAGAGCAAGCTGCTGTATTGAGAAGTATATGCCATCACTGGGCAAAGCAGTTTCCAACCAGATCTCCTTTGCTTATCTCACAAGTAACCCCGAAAGGCAGGTATTATTCAATCGAGATTTGGTTTGCCCCAGACCATCTGAAGCCCAGAGCCTCCAGATGAAACGGAACCAGGAGAGGTCCTACCTACCTTTCAGGTGGACCGTTATCCGTGTTACTGCTGTGGCGCCTCTGCATTTTCCTTAAGACCTGAAAGTCAACGTATGGCATGAGCTAGAGTCTCTCAACATTCCCATTGCCGGTCGGATTGCCAAGGCAACTGGAAACAAGTATTATTACTCCTGCCTCACATCCCCAGAGTTCTCTGACATTCTGCAAACCCTGCTTGCATCCGTTAGGTCATCCAACTCTTAATTCAACATTCATTCCCTGGGAGGAAAGTGTTATCACCCCATTTTGCAGATGAGGATGTTGAGACCCAGAGGCGGAGGAAGAATTCCTCATGTGAGAGGCAGCAGTGAAATGTGGAGCAAGGAGATGCTGGAGGATGGGAGAATGAGACATGGCTTTGGAACTGATGCTGCTCCTAACATGGTGTTAGGAGCACCCTTGGACAAATCAGCAACCTCTCTGTGGCCTCAGATTCCCCATCTGTTAAATTGGGGGGTTGATGGTGTGTGACTGAAACCCAAAGCTACCTTCCAGCCCTCACATTTCATATGGTGATAATAAGGATGTGAATTCTCATGGAGACACATCACCTGGGTCACTGTGAGGAGCCACATGGACTTCAGAACTCCATGTTGATGATGCCTGAGGTGGGCCTTCAGGGCTCTGATGGGGTTGTGACCGCTAGAGTCCAGAGAAAGCAGGCCTCTCCCTCCACTTCCTCCAGAAGGATGCACAGGTCACCAGAGCTTACCAGACTCCAAACCCTGAAGGGAACAGAACACTTAAGGGAACAGTCTGTGGGATGGCTTGAACCTGAGAATGTCTTAGGGCATCATGGGTAGCTCTAAGCATATGGTTCTGTCTGCTCCCTATCTCTGGTTAGCTTCTCACTGATCCCTCTTTAGGACTCCTGAGGATATTATATTAACGAATTCTGTCCTATTGTCAAACTATGAGTCCTGATTGGGGAATACAGAAAATGTGTGTGAGGCCCTCTAATGGCTTCCCATTGCAACCAGAATAGAATCCAAACTCTGTTTATGGCCTACAGGTTCTGCCTGATGCAGCTTCACCTGTTTCCAATCTTATTTCCCTCTACTCTTCCTTTAACCCCTCCCCAACAGCCACACTGGACTTTTTGTTTCTCAAACAGGCCAGCTTGTCCCTGCCCTCAGGGCCTTTATACGCCAGTTCTCTGTTCCTTCAATGCTTTTCCTTCTGTCTAGCTCCCTCAGGTCAAAGGTCACCTCCTCCCAGAAGCCTTCTCCTCTCATCCTCCTGACTCACCATATGTTGCACTGTTTTATCTTCTTTAATAGAACTTATTCACTTATATGTTTGCTTATTTATGATCTGTCCCCCATTAGAATGTAAATGCCACAAAAGCAGGGATACTATGTCTGGCTCACCCCTGTACCTCAGCATCCAGAACTGCCTAGCACAGAGTTGCATTCAACAAACAAATATTCAAATGTTTATTCAATATTTATTACGGATCTCAGTTACCTTTTTGTATATCCCTTTCTCCCTCCCTGACTTTTCACCCTAGAAAAATAAAAGCCACAGACTTTCCATGAATAGGTTTAGCCTTTTTTTTTTTTTTTGTATCAGGACCAAAGATGGTATCTTTTAGTCGAGGACATCATAATCAGTTGTTGAATGATTTCCTAAACCTGACCACCTTCTTCAAAGGACAGCATTGGTGTTACTAGGACCACTGATTAGAGACAATTCACTGGCTAACCCTCTCTTCTCTTTTGGAAAATCAGCTAAGAAACGGGTCAGTAGCACTATCTTCACATATGAAGGAAAGCTCCTTATGTAAATATTTTTCAACAACATGCAATGTCACCTCAATGGCCCCTCCCAGTGATTCCCCATCACTTGCAAATCCTTGGGGAAAATAAAATACAGCATCCCCAAAATTCAATTCCCAAATTTGACACAGCCTCCTAAATCACATGCCCAAGATTCTACTTTCAGATGCTCGCTTTCAGGGGGCTTCAGATTCACTCTTGGAAGCAGGCCATACATAATTATTCCAATATTGAATTCTGGAATAAAATTTTGCACGTGGGATGCATCTGAACGACTGAATGAAACGCCTCTTAACCCTCTGCTCCATTCATTGTACTATATCCCTCTGAAGACTTTTCAATGCATGCTTTGTTTTAAGTTGCGCCCCCAGGCCGTTACAGGAATGCACCGAAATGCACGCGAGAGCATCTCCTGCGTTCCACGCACTGGAAGCCGGCAGGTGCACTTGAGGAACAAAGCCACGAGCATCTCTCATTCCTGCAACCAACGTTCAGCACAAGACGCCCCAGGACTGCAAGGACAGGAGACTACACGGACTGTCCCCGGAGAAAAAAAACGCATTCTCTTTTTACCTGCCCAGACAATTCAGCAATCACAGCAGCATCATTCACATCCTTCCAAGCCAATCACACTCTAGGCCCGGGGAGCACGTGACTTCCGAGTGCTTCCGGCCTCTCGTCGGGTTCTCTCAGGCGGCCTTAGCCGGGCGCTAAGACCGCGGCGCTGCTACTCCTGCGGTGCGCACGCGATTGCCCGCCCCCTTTTCGGGATTCAGCCAATAGGAGGCCGCCGCTTCTCAGGGACCAATGGGGAGGAGCCGAGCGAGGCCAGTGGGCGACGCGAGCGGAGCGGAGGCGGGGCGGGGAGCGGGGTCACGTGGGGCGGCGCGGGGTGGCTGCCGGGAGCTGGCTGGGCCGGAGGCCGCGGGGCCGGCGCCCGCCGCGAGGAATGGGGCTGCCGGCCGCGTAGGGGCCATGCCGCCCGGGCCCCGGGCTTTCCCCACTCCGCGCCCCGGCCGCCGCGCCCCGCGTCCGCCCCGGCATGGTGAACCTAGCGGCCATGGTGTGGCGCCGGCTCCTCCGGAAGAGGTGGGTGCTCGCCCTGGTCTTCGGGCTCTCGCTCGTCTACTTCCTCAGCAGCACCTTCAAGCAGGTCAGTGGCTGCCCGCCGCCCTCCCGCCTTTGCTCTCCCGGCCGCCTGGCTTCCCCCTGGGGTAGGGGGAGCCACCCGTGCAGCCGCGCTGCCAGTGTGTCCGAGGGTCCGGTGCGCCGGGACCGAGGACGGGCGAAGGGACCTGCTCATTTCGTTGGTGCCAGGGCGAAAAGGCGCTGCTAGGCCAGGGGCACAGGTGAAACTCGAACCCAGGTCTGTGGGCCCCTGACTGTGATTATTACCCTTACTGCTGTCTGTGTGCCTTCTACCTGCCGGGTCCAGGGCTTAGAGGGGGCGTGCGTTTCTTGCTTCTTCCTCCCGGCGGTCCTGGGGGATGGGTGTCCCCAGATTGCAGCGGGGGAAACTGAAACTCAGAGAGGCGGAGGTGGTAAGTAGCCAAGCTGCGAGGCCAGCGCTGGCGTACCTGGCCTGCGTTTCCTTTGGGGGCTCAGTGGTCCACCTGGGAGACTCAGCAGGACCCATGAGGTACCCTTTCTGTGCATAACTTGTTTGGATGGAATTTCCTTCTCACATCCCATCCCCTTCGTTTTTCTTCTGTGTGATAATTTCTGGGAGAAAATGGCAGGGTGGTTTGGTGGGAAATGCGACCAAAGCATTGGACGTTTATGAGTCCGGTTTGAGCGTTTGGGTTTTTAGAAAGGGTGAGCGCATACCTCGGAGTGTATCAGGTACAATACCGGTTTATGCTGTTCCTCTGATGTCTGGTTGCTCTGATGCTCTCAAGAGTCAAGCTCGTAAATAAAATATATTAATGAATATAAAATACACTATGTGGTCACCCTAGTTTGATAGGATCGGTGGGGGAGCTGCGTAAAGGGAACATAGGGAACTGTATCCCACCTCTTACCTTGGGCAAACAGAGAGGCTGAGTAGTGTTGTGAGCCTCTTTATTGACTGGGGTGTGTTGGTGACATTCACAAACAAAGTGCTTCTGGGACTTGTGTTTTCTGCAACCTCACAGACACCTTCTTGTGGTCACGTGCTTTTCCTTCTCTGTCTGGCAGACCTCTGAGTGTTGCAGTGAGCCAGGACTCAGTCTCTGCATTCTTCCCTACCTGACCCAGGTAATCTCTGGGACCATTGTTTATTTCCAGCTGTATGCTCTTGATACCCAAATTTGTAACTAGCCTAGACCTATCCAGAAAACTCCCCAATTCTTTTTTTTTTTTTTCATATTGAGCATTTATTATTTTTTTAATTTTTTTATTCGTATGTTAATCCCCATACATTACATCATTAGTTTTAGATGAAGTGTTCCATGATTCATTGTTCGTGCATAACACCCAGTACTCCATGCAGAATGTGCCCTCTTTAATACCCATCACCAGGCTAACCCATCCTCCCACCCCCCTCCCCTCTAGAACCCTCAGTTTGTTTTTCAGAGTCCATCGTCTCTCCTGGTTCGTCTACCCCTCCGATTTCCCCCCCTTCATTCTTCCCCTCCTGCTACCTTTTTTTTTTTTTTTCTTAACATATATTGCGTTATTTGTTTCAGAGGTACAGATCTGAGATTCAACAGTCTTGCACAATTCACAGCGCTTACCAGAGCACATACCCTCCCCAGTGTCTATCACCCAGCCACCCCATCCCTCCCACCCCACCCCCCACTCCAGCAACCCTCAGTTTGTTTCCTGCGATTAAGAATTCCTCCTATCAGTGAGGTCATATGATACATGTCTTTCTCTGTTTGACTTATTTCGCTCAACATAATACCCTCCAGTTCCATCCACGTCGTTGCAAATGGCAAGATCTCATTCCTTTTGATGGCTGCATAATATTCCATTGTATATATATATACCACCTCTTCTTTATCCATTCATCTGTCGATGGACATCTTGGCTCTTTCCACAGTTTGGCTATCGTGGACATTGCTGCCATAAATAAACATCAGGGTGCACGTACCCTTTCGGATCCCTACTTTTGTATCTTTGGGGTAAATACCCAGTAGTGCAATTGCTGGATCATATGGTAGCTCTATTTTCAACTTTTTGAGGACCCTCCATACTGTTTTCCAGAGTGGCTGCACCAGCTTGCATTCCCACCAACAGTGGAGGAGGGTTCCCCTTTCTCCGCATCCCTGCCAACATCTGTCATTTCCTGACTTGTTAATTTTAGCCATTCTGACTGGTGTGAGGTGGTATCTCATTGAGGTTTTGATTTGGATTTCCCTGATGCCGAGCGATATTGAGCACTTTTTCATGTGTCTGTTGGCCATTTGGATGTCTTCTTTGGAAAAATGTCTGTTCATGTCTTCTGCCCATTTCTTGATTGGATTCTTTGTTCTTTGGGTGTTGAGTTTGATGAGTTCTTTATAGATTTTGGATACTAGCCCTTTATCTGACATGTCATTTGCAAATATCTTCTCCCATTCTGTTGGTTGTCTTTTGGTTTTGTTGACTGTTTCCTTTGCTTTGCAAAAGCTTTTTATCTTGATGAAGTCCCAGTAGTTCATTTTTGCCCTTGTTTCCCTTGCCTTTGGCGATGTTTCTAGGAAGAAGTTGCTTTGGCTGAGGTCGAAGAGGTTGCTGCCTGTGTTCTCCTTTAGGATTTTGATGGACTCCTGTCTCACATTGAGGTCTTTCACCCATTTTGAGTCTATTTTTGTGTGTGGTGTAAGGAAATGGTCCAGTTTCATTCTTCTGCATGTGGCTGTCCAATTTTCCCAACACCATTTGTTGAAGAGACTGTCTTTTTTCCATTGGACATCATTTCCTGCTTTGTCGAAGATTAGTTGACCATAGAGTTGAGGGTCCATTTCTGGGCTCTCTATTCTGTTCCATTGATCTATGTGTCTGTTTTTGTGCCAGTACCATGCTGTCTTGATGATGACAGCTTTGTAATAGAGCTTGAAGTCCGGAATTGTGATGCCGCCGGCTTTGCTTTTCTTTTTCAACATTCCTCTGGCTATGCGGGGTCTTTTCTGGTTCCATACAAATTTTAGGATTATTTGTTCCATTTCTTTGAAAAAAGTGGATGGTATTTTGATGGGGAGAAAACTCCCCGATTCTTTTATCTGGTTGGTTACTTGCCATCTTTTTGAATGTGTCATAGGATTTTCATTCTTGGCCAAAACAGAACTCTTGATTCTCCACCATCAACACTTCCTCTTCAGTCTTCCCGGGCTCACCAAGTGGCATTACTGTTCACCAGGTAGTCAAGCCACAGATACTTGCTTTTCTCTCTCCAAAACATTGCCCCTGCCTCCACAGTGTATCCTGATTTTGTTTCTTTCTCCTGATTGTCACTGGTGCCACTCTAGGTCAAGCTACCTTGTCTGGACTGCTGCAGTAGCCCACCAGCAGGTTTCTGCTTCCTTTCTTTTCTTTTTCTTTTTTTTTTTTTTAAAGACTTATTTGAGAGAGAGAGGAAGAACAGAGGGAGAGAGAGAATCTAAAGCAGACTCCGTGCGGAGCATGGAGCCCAAGGCGGGTTCGATCCCATGACCCTGAGATCATGACCTGAGCCGATACCAAGAGTCCGATCCTCAACCAACTGAGCTACCCAGGTGCCCCAGGTCTCTGCTTCCTTTCTTGTCCAACAGTCTCTTCTCTACCTATCAGTAATAGGGGTGATAATCTGGAAGAAAAAAAAAATCACAATTCTCCCCTAGGTATAATTCTTCTTTGGCTTTCTGTTGCACTCAGATAAAACTCCAGACTCCATTCCAGGATCGTTGCATGGTGAGTCTTTTTTATCCCTTGAGGCCAGGCTAACCGTTACTGCCTCAGGCTACACTGGGTGATACAATCTAAATTAAGGTTCCTTGCCCATAGACCTGTTTTATTTTCTTTGTAGTAGGAATCACTGACTGAACATTTCTTGCTCATAAACTTGTTTATGTCTTTCCTCTCTCTCCCTTCTAGACGGTAATTTTCTTGAGAACAGGAACCTTGTCTGTATTATTCATAGAATCTCACCCCCTTGAATACTGCCAGGCACTTAATGGACACTCAAGTATGGTTTGAACAAACACGTGAGTCGTGAGTCTTTTTAATTGGGATGACTTTTCCTTTCTTCTCCAACTACCTTTTTTTTTTTTTTTAAAGATTTTATTTATCTGAGAGAGAGAATGGGAGAGAGAGAGAGCATGAGAGCGGGGGAGAGTCAGAGGGAGAAGCAGACTCCCCTCTGAGCAGGGAGCCTGATGTGGGACTCGATCCCGGGACTCCAGGATCATGACCTGAGCCGAAGGCAGTTGCTTAACCAACTGAGCCACCCAGGTGCCCCCAACTACCTTTTTATGTCTTGACTCAGATGCTGTCTACTCTGTGACCTTCCCTACAACCATCTTTTAAGTCCTATCGTGCACCTTGTGTATTTATTTTTAAATTACAGTGTGTCTTTTTTAGAAACCGGTGATCTATGACCATGATTGGGGAGGGATGATTGTGATTTGCCTAAAACTGTTGGCAAATTTCTCTGGGTCTGATCCTTCACACAGCCCAGTAAACACTAAGAAACACTTCAGCTGTAACCTCTCTATCCCTGCCCATCAACTCCTGGCAACCACTAGTCAACTTTCTGTCTCTGTGGATTTGCTGTTTTGGACATTTCATATAAAGGAATCCTACAACATGTACTCTTCTTTCAGATCAGTTCTTTGTAGCATATAGTAGTGCTTCATTTTTTTTTTTTAAGATTTTATTCATTTATTTGAGAGAGAGTGTGTGTGTGTGTAAGAGAGCACAAGTGGTGGAGAGGGAGAAGCAGGCTGCCCATTGAGCAGGGAGCCCTATGTGGGACTCAATCCCAGGACCCTGGGATCATGACCTGAGCTGAAGGCAGACGCTTGACGACTGGACCACCCAGGCGCCCTGTATTAGTACTTCATTTTTATGTGTGGATAATATTCCATTGTATCCATCTCCTGCATTTTGTTTTCTTTTCATCAGTTGGTGGATGCTTGGCTTGTTTTCATTTTCTGGTTATTATAAATAATGTTGCTGTGAACATTGGTGTACAGGGTTTTATTTGGAAATATGTTTTCATTTCTCTTGGGTATGGTCCTAGGAGTGGAATTGATGGGTCACATGGTTTAACTTTTTGAGGAACTGCCAGACTGTTTTCCAAAGTGCCTGCACCATTTGCAATGAACTTTTAAGAAACTACACTTGTCAAGTTTTGATGTAGTACCAAAGAAGATTATCCATAATTATTTGAAAAAGCCATTAAAATATCCCTTCCATTTCCAAATACACATCTTTGTGAGGTAGATTTTCTTCACATGCTTCAACCCAAACAACATATTGCAACAGATTAACCGCAGAGGGAGATAGGAGAATCCTGCTGTCTTCCATTCAGCCAGACATTAAAAAGATCTGTGGAAATCTAAAAGCATTTTCTCACCAAGTTTATTTTTTTGTTTTGAAGAACGTTTTTTTTCACAGACAAAAAAAAAACAAACAAACCCTGTTAACATATAATAGGTTCATTTTATTTTTAGTTGAATGGATAATTTATTTAAAGTAAGTATTTTAAGAATTTATTTTTTAATTTCCAGTATGATCCTCATAAACCCACATGTGGAGATTCTCTGTAAGGGTCTTTGGGAGCCACAACTCGGAGCCCATTCTGGCTGATGCTGTGCTCTGTGCATTTGAGTTTGCCCCTCTTGCTCTGCTCCCTGCTGCAGTTCTGGTCTTCCGCCATTCCTGAGCTGTGCGACTTGAGGTCAGTTTGCCTCGTTTTGCCTACCCTCAGTTTCTTCATCTGTGAGACGGAGATATGGTATGGAATATATGGGGCTGGGATGTGTGTGTTGGGATTGCATTGAGAAGAGACGGTGAAAAGTTGTAAAGCTCAGTATGGTCCCATGCTCTGCTTCAGCGAAAGAAACAACTCCGTGGAGCACAACTCGTGGAGCAGATGGAGCTGCTGTTCGCCTGGAAGCGAGCTGATTATCCTCTGTTGCTTTGAATTCCTCTTTTCTTTGGTTTTCATGTTAATTAATGCTTTGGGGGATAGTTTAAATTGTAGAGATGGGAGTGCAGGAGAAATTAATGACAATGGTGGGGATGCCATTGGGGAAGAGGATTGGGTGCCAAGTACTTGGGCACATTTACTTAAATGTTTAGTGAACCACAGCCCTGCGCTAGGTGCGGTCTGCTAGGTGGTGGAGTACAAGGGGTGGGGGCTCACTCCAAGAGCCCATATTCTGCCAGGGAATTAAGGGGGCAGAAATGGCAAGTGACCAAAATCATTTCAGATGTTGACTTACCATACGAAGGAAACAAAACAAGTTGTGGCGACAGAGCAGCAAGGTGGGCCTAATTCTGTGGGCATTTGAGCTGAGACGGAAGAAATCCCAGTCATGGAGTCAGAGGGTCCTTCGAGGTCCTCTCATGTAAATAAACGTTCTCCTGTCCAAGTGGAGCAGTTCTTGAAAGTCTTGGCGTAACTCCTTGAAAATATATTAACATCTTTAGCTTTCAAGTAACTATGTAAATTGCAGTAGACTAAGTATATAAGTTAGATACTTCTGAAGTGTAGCAAATCGTAAGAGAGTTGCTAATCGATTGTTGTTGTTGTTGTTGTTACTGATCACCAAGGTATGTATATTTTTCAGAAAGTTTGTTAAGTACTGCCCAGGGTAGAGGAGAACAGTGACTCCTAATTTCACCAACCATGGACATTTATCTCATTTGACCCTTATGGTAACCCCTGAAAAATAGGGTGGTTATTGAAATACTCCTTTTAAAATCAGGCTAAGTAACATGTATTAGTAATAAAAACATTACTGTAGCTCCTTATAATTTATGAAGAAAGGTCTCCTGTTTTTTGCTTGTTTTTGTTTGTAGGGCGTGTGGACGTCTGTTGTGGTTGATTGCACTGATTTCTGTGCACACTCTTTATCGACTGCTCTGGGGCACTTTGAGAATAGAGAGCCTGACTGCCTTTGTCTGTATATCCTTAATGCATTGTAAGGACTTGATACCTTTGTGGGGGGAAACACACATGCGTGCGCACACACACATACGCATGCACGTGTATATATAAAAAGCCTAGAATTGAGACAACCTAATAGGGTAGGTCAGTTTGGAAAGGGTTTAAAACTATGGAAGGAATCCCCTCAGTGCCCCTTCACTACACCATTGGCGAGACTGGACCGTCACAAAAGCAAATGTGTGCTAATTCATTACATTTGCCACTATGTCTTACACTAGCTTTTGTACCGTCTTTTTTGATTGTACAACTCTTACCCAATCCTTTTGGCAGGGTCTTGATTATTCATGTTTGAAAACTTGAAAAAAAGTTCAAGCGCTAGAAGAATTGCCTTCCTGTTGACGGGGAGCATAGTTATGTGGAAGAGGTCCTTCCGGGATGCACTTGTCTGTGAACTCTTGTTTTCTTTTGGGAAGAATAACAGGATAGTTTGAGAGTAGTGTTAGGAGAACTTTTAACCTTGTTGTGAGATCCAGTGTACTTTGACCAGCCACTTACTAGTCTTTATGGCTATTAATTTATCTAGGGCAGCATTTGAAGCTCAGTTTCGTTTGCACATAGCTTGATTATGCAGTTAACTGATACAGTCCCAGAAGAGCGGAGGAGTATGAATTTACAGGTAGTTAAGCAGTGTGCACCTAAGTGATTTTTCCCATATTCCCAAGGCTTCTACACTTAGCCCCTCTTCTTGCACCAGCCAAGGAATACAGCTGTTGTTTTTGTATAACCCATCCTGTTGCTACTGGTGCCAGTTCTTGCCTATAAGTGAAACAAAAGGGAAGGGCAGAGTAGAAATTAAAGTCGTTAAGTATAACTGTTTTACACTTAATAAATTAAAGAACACACTCCAGTACTGGTGCGGTGGTGGTGAAATTGTGAACGTAAATGCTGGTAATACTACAAACCGCATATATAACTTCGGGGAAGTTATTTGGCACTATATAGCAGGGACTGTTCCTAGTAATTATTACTATGAGTCATTCAAGAGAATAAACAAACCTCTGTTTTTACTGCAGTGCTGTCTGTGATAACAAAAACATGGGATGGGTCAAATGTTCTGTGGAGGGTGGTTTAATGAATTACGGCACATCAACATGATAGATTATTATACAGCCTTGAAAATGTTGTTATCAAGATAAGGTGGGTACTTATATGGTTTACCATCCGATTAGTGTCAAGAAGAGCTGAACGCAGGGCATCCTAATTTGTAGTCTAAATGCTGGGGTCGAAGGTTAGAAGTTAATATATAAAAATTGATAAAGCTTTATTTAAGCAATGGGACTGTGGGCAATTTTTGTCTTTAAGGTCGGTAATCATGCTTTTTTTTTTCAATAAAATTCTTATTTTGGGAGAATTACAGATTTAAAGAAAAGTTTCAAGGATAGTTCAGAGTTTGCGTAGGTCCCTCAGTGTCTTCTCTTGTTAATGGTAATCATATTTTTATTATTTTAAATTAAAAATGAAAATATTCCAAAGATGACAAAAGATGTTAATAATCCCCTCTATCCCTTCCATGTTAATAGTCTGTAGCATATCTTTCCATACTTTTATCTCAGTTCTTACAAACCTGTATGTGTATGTTATTATAATTGTTATCATAATGTGTGATGTAATATGCATATTCTTTTGTAACTTGCTTTATTCACTTAATATATTGTGGACATCCAGTGGTCTAACACAGTGACTGTGTGTTAAAATCATTCAGATGCTTTAACAATATTGATTCCCAGGTCCCATCCACAGAGATTTTTACTCAGTCTGAAGTTGGGCTCAGAAATCAGAGTTTGTTTTAAAGTCCTACGTAATTTATTAATGTGCAAGCCAGGTTTGAGAACTACTCGAGATAAATACGTATCATTCACATCTGGGATTTTTGTAATAGCCATAGCTATACCATTGTTGTTCAATCATTTCTCTGTTGGGTTTCTAGGTTTTTCCTACCATATAAATAGTGCTGTAGTAAACATCCTGGTACATCCTTACATATTGGTACTTTCTATAGAAAAAACTCAAAAGTGTGTTTGCTGTGTCAAAGTAGATGTGGATATGTATATTTTAGATATTAGTAGCTCTTCCCAAGTTGGTTTCCTAAAGAAATCTCAGTAACTATGAAGATCTGTTTCATTGTTTTAAAGTATATATCCTTTGCCATCAAACTTTGAAGGTTAGTCCCTTTTGCTGGTGACATGTGACAGGTCATTCTTAATGGTAAAAGCCACAAAATCTATTAAAAAGGTAGAATGTTTAAAGTATATAAAAAGCCTTTGGGAGGGAGTCTTGTATAATTGTTTTGTTTTCCAACAGCAGGTTGAAGGATTCACAAGACAGCTGTCGCATGCTTGTCTTGTTTTGTGGTACTTAGGCACCTTCCCCTTAGTTCCTTTAATAGTATAGGAAAAGCAGTTTTGAAAGCTGCAGCTTGGAGGCTAGGAGAAAAGGCATAAGTGCTTGCCTCTAGAACAGCGTGGCCTTTGGATGTGTAGGTAAGGGCTGGCTGGAAGGATGTCTTATGAAAAGAAAGGTATGTTGTAAGAGTTACATAATCACTGTCTTTTCATAGGAGAAATTTGCAAGTTGACATGCTTCTTTTTTCCCCTAAAACCAACCTCCCACTTCAGTATTTCCCCTAAGTTTAACCACTGAAGTACTCATGATGGCAAATGAAAAGGACCTTGTGCTCCAGATAAGTCCAGGTATTGTCTGAAATGACAGTGGCGCAATTCCTTTGAAGTTTCCTCTTATATTTTAAAGGTGCATTCAAATTTTACATTATATTTGGCAATGTGTGTGTTTCATTGTAAAAAAAATGTTTTAAAGGTTTTATTTATTTATTTGACAGAGAGGGAACACAAGCAGGAGGAGTGGGAGAGGGAGAAGCAGGCTTCATGCCGAGCAGGGAGCCTGATGCGGGGCTTGATCCCAGGGCCCTGGGATCATATCCTGAGCTGAAGGCAGATGCTTAACGACTGAGCCACCCAGGGGCCCCTATTATAAAAAAATGTTTAAATGATTTACCATCAGAAAGAGAAAGTTTAAAACTTTTCCCCTCCCAAGTTTTGCAATAAATTAACACTTAACACATTTACAACAGGCATGTAATCCGAAGGCCAGTAATATAAGTATGCCAGTTTTGAAGCATAGCCTTAATTTATTATTTTTCTACAGGTTTATTTTGCGTCTTCTATTATGGCTTTGGTTCAGTCTTGGCTCATATGACCGATCCCGTCCTGCAAGCTTTCTTATATTGTTTCTGTCCTGTTACATAGAAACAATACTTTAACCTTCCCATTGGTGGTCTCTTTATAGGAGGAAAGGGCAGTGAGAGATCGGAATCTCCTCCAGGTTCAAGACCACGACCAGCCCATTCCGTGGAAAGTGCAGTTTCACCTGGGGAACAGCAGTCGGCCTGGCAACCAGTGCCGGAACTCCATTCAAGGGAAGCACCTCATCACGGATGAGCTAGGTAGGGCTGGCTCCCTTCTGCAGCCAGCGAAGGGCTACGGTATGAGTCCGTTGCTGTGGTTTTATACAGTGCCATTTCCAGCATTTCTCACATCTCTGTCTTTCATACCTTACTTGTCATTCTAGGTTCCCCTCGCTGTCAGAGAAGTTTGGTCTGATAATTCTGTCTCCAAAGCTCCTTGTGCCTGTAATGCACGGTTTCAGCATTTGATCATGTGCCCTCTAGGCTACTTCCTACCCATCTCTTCCTGGCCCCCGGATGTTCAGATCTTGCCCATGTTGTCTTCTCATCTTAGTGATAAAGTCTACAGGGTAGCCAGTGTTCCTCCTTGGTGACCTGCATAATATCCACACAGTTCTGGCACTTAGGAAATGTGCTTGTTGACTGACTGACTAGGTGATCTCACATGAATGATAAACATTCATTTTTCTTCTTATTATATATTGATTTATTTTTTTAAAGATTTTATTTATTTGAGAGAGAGTGCACAAGCAGAGGGAGGGGGAGAGTGAGAAGCAGACTCCTCACTGAGCAGAGAGCCTTGATGTGGGGCTCGATCCCAGGACCTTGGGATCATGACCCGATCCGAAGGGAGATGCTTAATTGACTGAGCCACCCAGGTGCCCTATTTACTTATTTTAGAGAGAGAGCACATGTATATGCATGAGCAGGGGGAGGGGCAGAGGGAGAGGGAGAGAAGCAGACTCCCCACTGAGCCTGGAGCCCAACGTGGGGCTTGATCCCACGACCCTGAGATCATGACCTGAGCCGAAATCAAGAGTCGGACGCTTAACTGACTGAGCCACCCAGGCGCTTGAATGATAAACACATTTAAAATGTGTTACTTACCAGTGAAAACAGCAGCCTGTTTGTCTGAGAGCTTTCTCCCAGAGTTTTGTTGCCTCCTCTTAGTCTGTAAGAAAGGCAATTCCTGTGCTGTTGAGGTGGTTGGATTAGCTGATTGAGGTCTCACCACTTGAAGGCTGGCCCTGTCTTCCCAAAGAGGGACTCCCACTAATGCACAGTTGAGCTCTTAATTATGTGCTGGGCACGGGGCTAAAACCTCTCCTTGAGTATCTTGCTGATTTGTGTAATAGTCTTACAGCGTAGGTATTGCTCTGGTCACTTTATAGGTGAAGGCAGGCACCAAGAGGCTAAAGAACTTGCCTACGATGGCAAGAATTCTTTTATAAACCATGATCAGTGTACCATTATCACACCAAAAGAGTAACACTTTCCCTTAAAGTCCACTATCCAGTTTTCAGAGTTTCCTGATAGTTTTGCAGATTGTTTTTACTTTTTTTAGTTGGTGATTTGCAAATAATCCGGTTGGTTTGTTTGCAGGAGTAAATTTTGCTCTGTTTCAAAGAGTCTCGGCACAAATGGACTGTGAGTGTGGCAGTGCTGGAATCGACACAGGGCAGCCTTGAATTAGAGTATTGATACCCGATGACTGAGCAAAATGCAGATGTGCTGTCATTCAAGTGAAGCAAGAGTGCATTTATTGTTCTTTTCAAAAAGAAGTTTGCATTCCCAGCAAAAAAACAAAAACAAAAAACAGCTTTCCCCAGAAGCATCAGATCAGATGAGATTACTTGGAATTGAGGGAAGGGATCAGAGGAAAAACACCCACCTAAGGTAGAAGAACTGGAAAATTTTGCACAAGAATGGGGTTCCAAGCCAGTAGCGATGCCAATGTCAAACTCTGTCTTTAAGATTGTATTGAAAAAGCAAATAATATTGCAAATAGCCTCTTGTTTTTTGTTTAAAGATTTTATTTATTTATTTGACAGAGAGAGAGACAGCTAGAGAGGGAACACAAGCAGGGGAAGTGGGAGAGGGAGAAGCAGGCTTCCTGCTGAGCAGGAAGCCCGATGCGGGGCTCAATCCCAGGACCCCGGGATCATGACCTGAGCCGAAGGCAGACGCTTAACGACTGAGCCACCCAGGCGCCCCTTGTTTTGCTTTTTAAACAAAGTTTGGCAAAGGAAAATTTACTTCCATAAGATGAAATAGCTGGTCAGTGGGCAGACCTAGGGCCAGGACTGAACTTGGGAGTTCCGTCCTTTTTTTCTTAGAGACTGTTGTGTTTCTATGACACCCAGTGAGAAAACATGAAATCTTACGCCTTGACTTTAATAGTTAATATTAGGTTACGAGTGATAGTCATTTTCTTTTGCTGTAGCTAACACAAGAATAATTTTCCTCTGATTAATTCAGGTGAGACAAAGACTCTCAGACTTCTTAAAAAGTTCCAAGAATCGATTAATAAAAATTGCAGATCCATAGTTTGTATTGTACCTCCATGAACGTGAGAAGAAACAATTTCATAAAGAAAACTTGCAGGAATTTATACTTTTCAGCAAGCAGATGCTACCACGAATATTGCCAGGGTAACACTTACTAAAGACAACCAATTAGTATGACAGATTTTTTCAACGTTAGAAGTTAATACCCTAGTCAGTCGCGACACACTCTGAGGTGGTGATCTTACTGGACTCCTTGTTGGCAACAACATTGGCGCGAGTAGATTTACAATGCAGAAGAAGAAATCTTGAGCCCTCTTTCAGTTGGAAATCAGAAAGCCCTGTGGTTTCAAGGCTAAGTACTGGCAGTTAGCACTGGGGAGTGAAAGGTGGGGGGGGGTGAAAGGTGGCCAGTGCGGCTGACACCTACCATTCGGAAGAGAGAAAGGGGCAGAAAGATAATTGCAACAAGCGGAGTTTAGGCTACATTATATTTTACGTATTCCTGACAGAGAGGTGATAAGATTGCAGCATAGTTATCATTTTTGACCGAATTTTGAAAAACATGCTGGCTTCTTTGGGTTTTTGTTGGTTTGTTTATAATCCCTGTGAAGAAAATGAGTAAGAATAGTTACAAAGAACCCCAGAAACCTATATTATAGCATTTGAGGCGTCGTCTCTTAATTTGGAAGACCGAATGTAGTTAAAAAAAAACAACACAAAGCACTCAGTTCTTAGGTAACTGGGGTTTGGTTCTTTCCAGGCCCCGGTTTTCCAGGTGTTAAGAGAGGGCCCTCTGCGTCTCTTCCCTTGTTATTTTACTGGTGCCTCCTGCTTTTGCGCAGACTTTGTTTTCCAGAGTAGTTTCTGAAAACAACCTTATACTTCACTAAATCTCATTCTCTGAGGATTAAGAAGCTGGGGCATTTGGAATGGAATGATGCTGGCAACAACTGCTCTGCACCTGTGGGCCTGGGGTAGGGACCTGTGGGCCGGTAGGGACCTGTGGGCCAGTAGGGACCTGTGGGCCGGGGTAGGGACCTGTGGGCCAGTAGGGACCTGTGGGCCAGGGTAGGGACCTGTGGGTCAGTAGGGACCTGTGGGCTGGGGTAGGGACTTGTGGGCCTGTGCGTGCACCTGGGAGTTTCCCAAGAGCCATGTGGTGTCCCTTGTGCACTTATTCTTACATTTTTCTGTCCCACTCCCAGCAGATTGTAGAGAAATGTCTGTTTAGCAGCTCTGAACAATATATTAGTTTTTACGAGGAGAGTCTTTCCTTTAAGTTGAGTATGGGTTGACTGGGTTGGAGGCAGTGTGTTTACAGATGACGGGATTTATGAGTGGAGCAAATGAGGATTTTTCTCCCTTGGGTATTAGAGAGCTTGCATTCCTGGATTCTGAAGGGTAGTTGAATCCTGGCCTGTATACTTACAAACAGCTTAAATCAATTTATGAAGGCTCAGTGTGGCTACTTTTTGAAAAATCCTCCAAATCACTAAAGAAATGCAAGCATTTAAAAGATATTTGTAAAGATTGTAAAAGCGGTTGGTTGGTTGGTTTTTAAATCTAGATGGCTCTCACTTTCAGGAATGAATGCCTTGGTTTTTTTCTATTTTTCTTTCTTTCTTTCTTTTTTTGAAAACAATGCCATTTTTCTTCAGTCACAGATGAAAGAGTGGCTTGCGTTGGTTAAGCATGACTTGACATGGGGATTAAATCAAACACGTGTCGGCAGACCAGAAGGCGATTTTAGGTAGATGAGAACGTGTAGCCTGCTCCCCGCCCAGGAGCCCGCGGTGCTTGTCCCCGGCGGCCCGCAGAGAGCAAGGCCGCTGTGCCGGCCTCCTGGCCCTCTGGTGCTTGGCGCGCTCCACACGTCACATCCTGGCTGTGCGTGTGCTGCGCGGGCAGTACTTGGATTGCTGCTTCGCACTCGCCCCGGTAGAGAGGTGGGAGGCCTGCCGGCTTTCCACTCAGGTGAGTCTTTGACTTCCAGGCTACATTTGTGAAAGGAAGGACTTGCTGGTGAACGGCTGCTGTAACGTCAACGTCCCCGGCACCAAGCAGTACCGCTGTGACGGCTGCTTGCCCCACGGCTGCTGCGGCGCCTACGAGTACTGCGTGTCCTGCTGCCTGCAGCCCAGCAAGGTACGGACGGCGGCCGCCGGCTCCAGGCCCCTTCTTTGTGCCCTTACTGGATGCTGAGCATCGAGGTCTCTGGAAGGGAGGGCTGAGACCGGGACTGTGTAGATGGCAGAAACTGCTGCTGTGAAGCAGTGCCCACGAGGAAGGGGTTGTTCCCACTGACTGGGGTGGCTCGTTTGCAGGAGGGGCCCCTGGGTCCCCATCAGTGCTCTCACGGATTGGGTATCAGGCTCGTGCTCATTTGAGCTTGCTCTCTCCCTCTCTCCACCCCCTCTTCCATATCAGCAGTCTCTTAGTTTAGGAGAAATATCCAAGGTTACCTTGTGCTGCTGAGTCTGGAATTTATTACAGGTACTAACTTTTGTTTCCATAGCAACTTCTCCTGGAGCGCTTCCTCAACCGGGCAGCCGTGGCGTTCCAGAACCTCTTCATGGCCGTCGAAGATCACTTTGAATTGTGTCTGGCCAAATGCAGGACCTCATCCCAGGTCAGAAAGCTGTGATGCCGCTAGCTGGGGGATGGGGGGGTGGGAGTCAGGGTCGAGAATAAACTCGAAAATAGGCAGTGGGAGCCTCTCGGTGGGGTAATAAGGGAGAAGGGATTTAAGTGACGTGGTGTCGAGCTTTGTTTGGTGGAATGATGGTATTTAGAATGTCAGCGTGAGATTTGTACATGCTAGGAAAGTAAGATATTTATATGAAATCAAGGTTTAATCAGCTTGCATCTCCCCTCTCTGATTGGCATGTCTGCACTTGAAGTGAACGCTTACAATTATTTCTGAGTCTGGGTGGAGTCCTGATTGTCCAGTTCCTGAGAGCAGTTCTCTCCCCCACGTCTCTGACTGAAATATGACTACAGCTTTCCAGCAACCACTTGTTTGGAGGAAGTAGTCATTTCTTCTGGGACAGAGTTGTGGTTTATTTTAGGATTCAAGGGGATGGGACAGGTGGGCATTTAAAAATACACGAATAAATCTGTGGGTGGTCAAGCTGTCCGTACTCGCTAGTGTGCTGTCTGTAAATGCTCTGTTCTTCGGGCGCTCGGCGCTGCCCCTGGCCCTGTAGGTGTCTGCATGTCTGTGCCTTTGCATCACTGCACCCTCGGCTCTCCGCTTCTGTGGTCGGGCGGTTGTCGGGGCTCTCGATGCAAGATCGCCAGCCGTGTGTGGTGTACGAGCGCGCTTCTGGCTTCTACTCGTGGTGTCTACAAGACTACACTGGCTTCGTCTGAGATAGCGGACTCGTTTGTCGTTCTTTGTGACTCTTGTACCCGTTGCCAGGTTTCTGTAGACTGCCTTTTGATTTTATGCCGCTTTGTGCGTCTCTGGTCTGCTCTTAGAGCATTCAGGATCACTGGGTAAATATTTCAGGGATTATAATGAGCATTTGAAAACAATGAAGAAATTCCTGATGGTCTTGTTTTCCTGGAAGAGCTTTCTACTTGAATGGGCTTTAAAGGAAATGTGGAGGAAGGCTGAACACATGACTCATTTTGATGCAGATTTTCTCTCATTCTGAGAAATTCTAGAAAAGGCGGAATATTTTCTTTCCTTAACTGATAAAACCCAGACACTATTTCCAATCTTGAGGGAGGATGCTAACCTTTTTGACTTGATCTTTTTATTATAAAGAGAGAGTTTCCGGGCGCCTGGGTGGCTCAGTCATTAAGCGTCTGCCTTCGGCTCAGGTCATGATCCCGGAGTCCCGGGATTGAGTCCCACATCGAGCTCCCTGCTCGGCAGGAAGCCTGCTTCTCCCTCTCCCACTCCCCCTGCTTGTGTTCCTGCTCTCGCTATCTCTCTCTGTCAAATAAATAAAATATTAAAAAAAAAAAAAAAAAGAGAGTTTCCAGTTGCCAGTTTGTCTTGATTGCGGTATCCCAAAAAAAGATTTGCTGCGTGTCTATAAATTAGATTAATACTTATGATTTAGATGTTAATCATTGGTCTTGGGCTAATTAATGAACTCCAGACTAGCCAAAAACTCAAGTTGCCTGTATGAAAACAAATTGCTGAAAAATTAGCCGTCGGGGATGATTGTCCGTGTTAAATCCACTTTCCATTTATTTAGCCCAATGAGGCTTATGTGGTATTGTGGGATTTGGCTCGTGTACCAGACCTTGAGGTGCATAAAACTTCAGGAAAGCGCCTGGACGTGGCATCTCCTTCGTCTCTGCGGGGTTCAGTGCCAGGAACTGAATTTCCTTGGAGCACGGAAGTCAGGAGCAAAACACCCGCTGGATCTTAATCTAACTTAACATCATCTGGGAAAAAATAGTTGTCTTGAGTTGCTAGGTTGTTTTCAAAAACAAACAAAACTCACTGTTGACAGAGGAAGAAACGGGCATGTGGTGATGTTCTGTCCATTTTCATGCTTTTCATTGACATTCTGTGTTGAGCATGCACCTTTGTTTCACAGCAGTGCCTGGATCCTTTTGGTGGCATTTGGAGACGGCCTCGTGTAGGCTCCTGCAGGGAGTCCCTGCCCACAGTCCCGCTCTGGCCTCCACTGTCCCACAAGGGAGGTGTGTGAGACTCTGCTCTCTCTCACGGCGCTCTTATCTTCCCTTTTGCCAACAGAGCGTGCAGCACGAGAACACCTATAGGGACCCCATAGCCAAGTACTGCTATGGAGAGAGCCCTCCCGAGCTCTTCCCCGCATGATGGGCACAGAAGGCAGACCAGGCACCACCGGAGAGCTTGTGGCCTGAAGCCAGCCTCCAGCGTTCTCTAGTCCGCTTGGAAGAAGACAGGCATCGCGCGGGCGCCTCGGCTTTGACCACTTCTTGGGTTGTAGTCTGTGGCCTCACTCTCCGCTGGGCTTTACCCTGTGAAACTGTTCTGTAAAGCAGCTTGGAAACACCAGCGGGTCACGTTCAAGAACAAACTACAGGCGAGTTTGCGGAGGTGTTGGCGCTCTGGGGCACCTCTCCCGTGGCAGACTCATCGAACCCTTCCCTGTAAAGTTATTTATTGGATTTCTCTGGAGTAGTGGGAAAATGATAATGTTTTATATAGGAAGATGCCTTGCCTTGATAGTTGAATATATTCAAGGAAATTGTTGTTGTTCTTGTTTTCTTGTGTTCTTGAGTTTTAGGAGTTAAGTCATCCCTTCACCCGGATAAAACATTTGGCCTCTTTGAATGTGCGTGTTCTCTCAAGGTAGTTATTTGGGTTTTGTTTTAACAGCACCTTCAGGAGTGGGCCCTGGACACTGTATCCTGACATCTAAAATTGTCAACACCTCAGAGCTACTCTTCCCTGTACCGGCTTCCCTGCAGGGGCCACCAGGCGCCCTCAGCTTTTCTCGTAGTGGTATTTGAATATGCTTTCATACCTGCGTTTGAGCACTGTTTGAACCAGAAATTCCAACTCACTGTTCTGGAGGATTTTGTTCTCATTTCCCATGCCACTATTGACGTGATTGCAGTCTGCTCAGCCGTGGTACACTGGGAGCCTCAGGAATGTTGCCGGCAGCCTCCTCTCCTCTCCTGTCATGGAAAACTGGTGTTAAGGGGATTCCTAAGTGGAGATACATCTAGCAACCGGCTGTAAGCAGTCATCCTTCATCGCTTCCAGCTTCAGGACATGTAACAGGTTCAGACCTTCAGTTTCCTTATGATCTGCAAAGAAGAAGAAAACCCAAGTTTCTGTCAAGGTTCTGTGAGAATTACCCATGCCCTCAATGGGGCGAGTCCGTGAAGGCCTGGCGTGCTGGTTGCTGGTCCACGTGCTCGAGGTGCCCCCCACTGGGTTTCTAGTATGACACTGAATCTCGCAGGCTCAACGTCGAGAGTATTTGGTCCTCCCGTCAAGACATCCTGGCCCTCAAATAGTATGGCTCTCTGCTCTAGTATGGGAGACATGGGCGCACAGCTCTTTCCTGGAGCGAGCCCCTCACTAACCCCCGGGATTGGGCAGGGTCTTTTTCATTTTTTGGTTGTTGAAATTGTTGACCTTGGAGTGGGGCAGTAGTTTTACAATCCACTTTTGACATGTTTTTCAGTAGGGCTTTTTCTTTGGACCATGTTTGCCTTCCAGTATGTTTCTGCATTATGTAGCAATAATTCCCCTTACCTTTCTCCTATTACTTCTTCAACTTCTCTTCCCAAAGTGGTTTGTCCCCCTAAATAAGCTTTCTCCAAGGGCTAACTGACAATTGTTTTTAATGTCCCCCCCCCCCCCCAAATCTGTTTAGTTTGCATTGGACTTTTTGGATTCTATGTGCATTCACGGTGCTAAATCAAACTTTGTATGTGAAAGAAATGTGCATGTCTGGATGTTTTACCATCTCATTCTTTTTGGTAACTCAGGCTGGTGTATGTCTGTCTCACGTTCCGTGAGCTTGGAGCTCATTTGAACTTTTGAACAATGTAACAGATTTAATGTGAAAACGGCTTTATATCAAAGACTAACCCCTGCCTCTTTACTTCGTACTTGAATTATTGACGAGCACGTTCTGCACCGAATTTTCAGTGCTTTCACAAACAGCTCACTCGTATTACCACCTTGTAGATGAGGAAGTAGTGAGAGGTAAAGCGACTTCCCAGAGTCCCCACTCAGATATAACAACAGAACCAAAGCAAGAACTTCATCTCTGGCTTCAGGTCCACTGTCCTTTCCACCGCCTCTCACCAGCCCCACTGCTGACTCATCCGTAATCGTCCCCCCAAGAGCATATAGGTTTCAGTTGTCCAGGCCAAAAGAGAGGAGAGGTGGCATCAGTAGCCAATTTGGGTTGATAATTCAAAGGTCATTTTCATTTGGTCCTGGAATATGTTTGTGTTTGTGGGTTTTTTTGTTTCTGTTTTTGTTTATTTACTTAAGTCAATTTAGAGGCGTGTTCACGTTTTGGAAAGTCACAGTGCTGCAGACTACATAATAAAACCACTGACGGACCTGGACCATTGCTCGACCTCCCCAGCCTTCCAACCCAGAACCCCTCCCTGCTCTGCACTCTCTTGAGTTGTTTCTGTTTTCCTCAACTGAGCGTTTCTAGAATTAGGGACCTCGTCTTGGTTTTGCGTGCCCAGAGTTTAGCAAAGTGTGTGATACATACTGGGATTTTAGGGAAAGATCAAAGAAGGGGCGAAAAAAAAGGTTAACAAATACTGAGTGTTTGGGGCTAAAGGTAAGAGGGTAATTCAAAGCATTTCCACCAATTCTCAATCTTAATTTCCTTGCTCGTTGCTGGAGTGATAAAGATCAGGAAAGAAACAGTAGAGTATGCAAGAGGTACTGAGGTGGGCAGGTACACAGGAGGGGGGACCTGCCTCTATTTGGCCTGAGACTTGGGGTGGCCCTAGGCCTGGTGATGTGGGGCTGGCATGGAGAGGCAAGCTTGGCAGCGCTTGGAAAGTGGGGGATAGGATTTTAGAGCAGGGGTTTTAGCTGTCAGCATGCTCCTGAAAGCTGACTCGGGGCCTCTGGGAAGTGCTTCAGTTGGTGTGGCTACAAAGGAGCTATGGGGATGGGTAGCACAGTCTGCA